TGGGAGGGTCTGGGGGTGTCTGGGGGTCCTGATGGTCCCTGGGGGGTCCTGAGGGTCTGGGGGTCTCTGGGGGGTCCTGAGGGTCCTTGGGGGATCCTGAGGGACTCAGGGTCCCTGGAGAGTCATGAGGGTCTGGGGGTCCCTGCGGGGGTCCTGAGGGTCCTTGGGGGATCCTGAGTCCTTGGAGGGTCATGAGGGTCTGGGGGTCCCTGGGGAGTCATGGGACGAGTTGGGGGGATCCTGAGGGGTCCCATCCAGGACACATCTGAGGGGGAATGGTGACAATTTTGGGGCCATTTAGGGTCGGTTGCAGCCCAGCCCACCCCAGGCGGACATTGGGGCTCCTGGTGGCCATTTTGGGGCCATTTGGGGCCGTTTTGGGCTGGTTGCAGTACACCCAAGCCCGGGTGGACATTGGGGCTCCCGGTGGCCGTTTCGGGGCCATCCTGGGCCGTTTTGGGGCCGTTTCCTGCAGGTTCCTGCTCTACGGCCGCTACTGCAGCCAGGTGGAAGCCGCCTCGCGCCGCCTCGACCAGCTGGCGACCGCCACCGACCTGCGCATGAAGCTGCAGGTGGGGCCACTGCCCGGACGCCTGGGCCCCTGGACCCCCCTGGGATCCTCAACACCCCCCCGGGACCTCCCGGACCCCCTATGACCTCCCTCAACTCTAATGACTTCCCCCCATGACTCCTATGACCCCCACGATCTTCTCCATGATCCCCATGACCTTCTCTATGATCCCCACGACCTTCTCTATGACCCCATGTGTTGTCCGCCATGACCCCCGTGACCCCCCCCACGTGTCCCCTGAAGCACCCCAGGTCCCATGACCCCCCACGACCCCATGTGCCCCCCCGTGACCTCTGTGGCCCCTCCATTAACCCCCTCCTTGACCCTTGTTCATCCTCGACCACCATGAGCCCCAGTCCTCCCATGGCCCCTTGTAGCCTATGACCCCCATGTCCCCTCGTGACCCCCATGTCCCCTCGTGACCCCCATGACCCTCGTGACCCCCATGACCCTCGTGACCCTCCCCCCCCCCAGGAGTGCTCCCAACGGGCCAACAACGGGCGCTTCTCCCTGCGGGACCTGCTCATGGTGCCCATGCAACGAGTGCTCAAGTACCACCTGCTGCTCCAGGTGCGCCGGACGCCTGGGCCCCTTCTTGGGGATGGGGTTCCTTGGGCACCTGGGTCTTCGCCCAGGTGGGGATGGGGGTTCCTGGATGCCTGGCTCCTTTCCCAAAGGGACCTGGGGGTCTCCAACCTTACCTTGGATCTGGTAGGAGCTGGTGAAGCACACGCCAGAGCCCATGGAGAGGGAGAACCTGCGGGTCGCGTTGGATGCCATGAGGGTAGGTGGCAGGAGGTCCAAGGGGAGCTGCTGGGCAGGTCCTAGGGGGGCTGGGGAGGTCAYGGGGAGGGTCCTGGGGATCCAGGAGGGGTCTTGGAGGGTTCTGGAGGAGTGTGGGGGAGTCTTGGAGGCCACAAGAGGTACCTGGGGTGGTTCTGAAGGTCTGGGGAGGGTCTTGGTGAACCTAGAGGGGTTATAAAGGGTCTTGGAGATCCTACGAGGTGGTAGGAGGGATCCTGGGGAGGTCTTGGAGTTCTTGGGGGTTTAACAGGGTTTTTTGGGGAGGTCTTGGGGATCTTAGAGAGGTCTTGGGGTGTCTTCGAGGGTCTTAGGGTGTCAGAGGGACCTGGAGGTCCTTGGAGATTGGGAGGGGGGTCATGGGGTATCTTGGAGGGTCCAGGAGGGTCTTGGAAAGGTTAGATGGGTCCTTGGGGGTGCTGGGGGTAGAAGGGCCTTTGGGGGTCTCTGACCCATGGCCACCCCTGCAGGACCTGGCGCAGTGCGTGAACGAGGTGAAGCGCGACAACGAGACGCTGAAGCAGATCACGAACTTCCAGCTGAGCATCGAGAACATGGTGCCACCTGCTTCCCACCCTGGCCTCCCTCCTTCCTTCCCTCCATCCCTCCATCCATCCCTCCTTCCATCCTTCCTTCCATCCCTCCATCCCTTCATCCATCCGTCCCTTCATCCATCCGTCCCTCCATCCATCCATCCTTCCTTCCATCCATCCATCCATCCACCCATCTCTCCATCCATCCATCCTTCCATTCCTCCTTCCCTCCATCCATCCCTCCTTTCCTCCATCCATTCCCTCATCCCTCCCTCCTTCCATCCCTCCATCCATCCCTTCTTCCATCCCTCCATCCATCCACCCATCCCTTCATCCATCCACCCATCCATCCCTCCATCCATTCCTCCTTCCCTCCATCTGTTCCCTCATCCCTCCCTCCCTCCATCCGTTCCCTCATCCCTCCCTCCTTCCATTCCTCCATCCCTCCATCCATCCCTCCTTCCCTCCATCCATTCCCTCATCCCTCCCTCTTCCATTCCTCCATCCCTCCCTCCCTCCATCCCTCTGTCCTCCACACATGTCCCTCTCCCCGTTCCCCCACCTCACACTGATGTCCCCCAACTCTGGCCCCTCGTCCCTGTGTCACCCCCGGCCCAGCCCCAGTCACTGGCCCATTTTGGCCGCCCCAAGATCGACGGGGAGCTCAAGGTCTCCAGCGCTGAGCGTCGAACCAAGGCTGACCGGTGGGTCCTGGAGGGGACACGGGGACACCCACGGGGACGTGGGGACTCCTGTGGGGAAATGGGGACAGCTGTGGCAACCGTGGGGACACGTGCAAGGAGGTGGGGACGGCCGTGGGGACACCTGTGGGGACATTGGTGTGGGGGACAACCATGAGGATGTGAGGATGAAGATAGGATGAATGGGATGGAGAAGGATGAATGGGATGGAGAAGGATGAATGGGATGGAGAAGGAGACAAGAAGGAAATAGGGATGGGGACAAGGTGAAGGACATGACCAAGGGTAGGGACAAAGGGTTGGGGTCACTGTGGGCTTGGGCTAGGGGACAAGGCATGGCCATGGCTGTGGTGGGGACACGCCAGTTGGCCGTGGGGACACCAGACCACGTCCCCATCCTCGCGCCCAGGTACGGGTTCCTGCTGGACAAGGCCCTCATCATCTGCAAGCGCCGGGGGGACTCGTTTGAGGCCAAGGACATCGTGGACCTGCACAGCCACCAACTGCGGGACGGTGGGCTGGGCCCCCGCGATGGCAAGAAGGTACCGCTCCTGGGGACCCAATTTTGGGCCCGTCTGGTGGCACCTGGGATCTGAGGGACCCAGGTGTCCAGGGCGCTCTCAGGTTCTCTGAGAACCTGGTGTCAACGTCCCTCCATCCATCCAACGTCCCTCCATCCATCCAACCGCCCTCCATCCATCCAATGTCCCTCCGTCCATCCAACGTCCCTCCATCAATAAACGTCTTCTGGGCTGGTGGATCCATTCCCCAATGGATCCTGTCTTCCTCGGTGGACTGAGACACCAGCGGACCCAGGTGTCCGGGCCCCTCGGTGACCGCCACTGTGCACCTGTGCCCACAGTGGACCCACACCTTCCTGCTGATCGACACAGCTGGGCCCCAGGGCTACGAGCTCTTCTTCAAGACCCAGGAGCTGAAGAAGAAGTGGATGGAGCAGTTCGAGATGGCCCTGTAGGTGCCCAGCTTGGGCAGCGGGTGGGATTTGCCCMACGCTTGGCACCATACGGCCTCGCRTATGGGTCGCTCCGTCTCTCCCCAGCTCCAACATCTTCCCCGAGCAYGCCCTGGCCGATGGGCACGAGTTCCAGATGTTCTCCTTTGAGGATACCACGTCCTGCAAGGCCTGCCAGATGTTGCTGCGGTAGGTGCCCATCAAGGACAGAGGGGTGAGGAGGGGTCCACGTGYCCTCAGAAAGGAGGCTCATGGATTTCTGGCCTGTTTGGGGGGCTGGGGTCGGTCCTCGCTGGGTAGGCTGGTGATTTGGTGGGTTGAGACCTTGGTGGTTCAAGGCCCTGATGGGCCAAGGCTGAAATGTTCAGCCTTGGGGTGAGGCCCTGATGGGTCAAGACCAGAATGGTCAAGTGATGGGTTTGCCCAGGGTGGGCGGGACAAGCTCTACATGGTCCAAGGGACAGGTTGTTGCCTGGGTGGGCCAAGGGCTGGATTCATTGAAGCCAGGATGGGCCAACTGGTCAAGCCCTCAATGGGCCGAAGGATGGATCAAGACTTGGTCGGACCAAGCCTTGGGTGGGTTGAGAGACGAATGGAGACTTGGGTGAGTCAAGGGCTGGTGGGTCAAGTCCTGGGTGGACCAAGGGCTGGTGGGTCAAGTCTTGGGTTGGCCAAGGGCTGGTGGGTCAAGTCCTGGGTGGACCAAGGGCTGGTGGGTCCAGTCTTGGGTTGGCCAAGGGCTGGTGGGTCAAGTCCTGGGTGGACCAAGGGCTGGTGGGTCCAGTCTTGGGTTGGCCAAGGGCTGGTGGGTCAAGTCCTGGATGGACCCAGGGTTGGGTTGGTAAAGGCCAAGAGGGGCCATGCACCACGTGGTGGCCCAAGGGGAGGTGGGTTGGGGCAGATGTAAACACGGGTGCTTCGGAGGGCACCCCACACCCTGACCTCCCCCCGGGATGCTCCAGGGGCACCTTCTACCAGGGCTATCGGTGCAGCCGGTGCCGGACCCCGGCCCACAAGGAGTGTCTGGGGCGTGTGGGGCCTTGCGGCAAGAGCGGCCATGGTGAGCAGGACACGGTGGGGCTGAGGGGGATCGCGGGATGGCCTTGTACAAGGAGGGGGATGACCATGGCCATGGGTGGCACGGGGTATTATGGGATGAGGTATGGCCATGATGGAGGAAGGCACCATGGGATGACCTTGGCCATGGTGGAGCAAGACACTATGGAATATGGCATGGCCATGGTGGAGCAAAGCACTATGGGATACCCTTGGCCAAGGACAGAACAAGGCATTTTGGGATGACCTTGGCCATGATGGAGCAAGACACTATGGGATATGGGATGACCTTGGCCATGGCAGAGCAAGGCACTATGGGATACCCTTGGCCTAGGCAGAACAAGGCATTTTGGGATGACCTTGGCCATGGCAGAGCAAGGCACTATGGGATACCCTTGGCCTAGGCAGAACAAGGCATTTTGGGATGACCTTGGCCATGGTGGAGCAAAGCACTATGGGATACCCTTGGCCTAGGCAGAACAAGGCATTCTGGGATGACCTTGGCCATGGTGGAGCAAGGCATTGTGGGATTCTCTTGGCAATTTCGGCTAAGGAAGCCAGCGCTAACGAGTAGCAGCCCCCAACCATCTATCAAGATGGGCCTCCTCAGGGCCAGGTGTTAATCAGGGCCAAATTAAGTAGCCCCTTAAGTAACGAGGCTCTCCTGTTCCCCGTTAATTAGGGCCAGTTTAAGTAGCCCCTTAAGTAATGAGCTTTTCCTGTTCCCATCACAGATTTGGCTGCAGCCAGAAAGGTAATGATGAAATGGGTCAAAAGGGGTGAAAATGCCCCAAATTTCCCCCCTGGGGGCAGTGAGTTGTTGTCTACTCCAGGAGGTTCATCAGCCTCTCGCTTTTCTCCAGAACAAGCTGCAGAGGCTGGGCCCTGAGAAGAAGAAGAGCGACCTGGGTGAGTGTGGGTGATCTGGAGATCCGTGCCCATGGCCACCTGGGGTGGGTTGGGGGGTCTCACCCACCTGGGTCCATGGTGGGTCAAGGAGGGGGTTGATTAAGGCCAAGTTGGGCCAAAGAATGGGTCAAGATTGGTTGGGTTGAGGCCCTGGGTGGGTTGAGGGACAGATGGAGCCCAAGGTGGGCTAAGGACTGGTGGGTCAAGTCTTGGGTTGGTCAAGGCCTGAGGTGGCTCAAGAGGGGCCACGGGCCAGGGATGGTTTTGGGGGAGTCCAGCTTGCCCAGGATGGAGGTGGGAGGTCCCATTGTGAAGGCTGAGAGGTTGTGGGGGATGAGTGCATGACCTGGACATCTGGGATCCTTCCTCCTCAGGACTGCCCAAGATGGAGGCAAGCCAGCCCTATAGCGGCATCCCCCCGCCGCCGGGGAACATGGGGCCACCGTTGCGCCTCAGCCCTGGGGACATCGTGGAGGTGATGAAGGCGGAGGCCGAGCAGTTCTGGTGGCAGGTAGGGTGGATCATCATGGTGAGGATGGAGCCCTGGGGCCATGTTGGATGGAAACGCCATGACAGGAACATTCTGGACTTCCATAGTGGGACTGTGCTAGACTGAAACCCATGATAGGGACATCTTGGACCTTCATAGTGGGGTCATGCTGGACTGAAACCCATGATAGGGACATTCTGGACCTTCATAGTGATCCAAGGCTGAACCTCCATGAT